AATTAAAGAATTCAAGTTAGGGTTTTTGAGACAAATCGAAAAAGAGAATGTTAAAATAATAAGACTAGACTAAGAGCAAAGCTCGTTGCAAAGCAACGAGTGGGTCTTCCTTCCTAGCGATAAGCAAAAGATTAAATGTTTCTGTCTAGATTGTCAACTAGATTGTTGACAATCTAGACAGAAACATTTAATCTTTTGCTTATCGCTAGGAAGGAAGACCCACTCGTTGCTTTGCAACGAGCTTTGCTCTAGTTATTATTGTTTTTTTTCTTACCGATTTTGTGCACGCGATTTCTCGAAAATGGCTCGATGTATTTCCATGAAACTTTCAGGACTTATGTAACATCACTTGAACCTTATGCGTTTTTTTCTGTTTTGATGACGTCACTTCCGGTCCGGAGTTATCAGCACTTTAATGATTTTTTAAGGGTCAGTTTGTCCGCACGATTTCTCCTAAACGGCTTTAGATAGACACATGATACTTTCAGGTATGGTAGACCTAAGTCTGTAGATTTGCGGAATGTATTTTATTTTTATCGGAAGTACCGCACGTCGGCGCTCGCTACGGCCCGAAAATAGTCGTACCGCAAATTTAAAAATTTTTATCACCTTTTCTACGATATCTTTTTACCTGGAAATATTTTGTTAAAACATATAGAACAAAAGAAGTGTAAAATTTCAAGGTCTTTCGAATGATATCTCGTAAAAAGGGCTGGCCCCTAAAATTAAGGGCCTAGAGGGGCCAAAAGTTTTTCCTTAATATCTCATAAAGTATTGAGAATTTGTAATACGTCAAAGAAGCAAAGTTGTTCAAAATGTCAAGTTCAATCTATTGAAGTCATTAAAATGCGTCCGTCGTCGTCACTTCCGGCCCAACCGGAAGTAGTCGAAAAACGTGTATTTTTGCCGTTCTTAACCCGTTTTTGGGTAACATATGTCTCTGGGAGCAAAAAAATTAATTTCCGCCCGTCGTTGTCACTTCCGGTCAAACCGGAAGTAGCAAAAATGGCTTATTTTAGCATTAATTAACATAAATGAAGGTGATTTATACATTTGGGGGCGTTATTACTCATTTTTATGAAAAGTGAAAGTTACTTCCGGTTACTTCCGGTCAAACAGGACGGAAAACCTACTCGTTGCTTTGCAACGAGCTTTGCTCTAGTTATTATTCTTTTTTCTTCTTATTTCTTCTCCGGTACTTTTTTGTCCGCGAGTGTTCTCAAAAACTGTTCATCCAACTGAGCTAAAACCTTTTTTGCGTTAATAGGTGTGTAGTGTAGGTGTGCGGAACGAAGGTCATTTTGCACGCATACGCATGCACGTGCGGGCGCGTGCAACACGTGAAATGACTTATATACTTAATATAGCCATAACTTTTACATTTTTTCATGAAATGATTTGAAACTCATTATATAAAGATATATTAATAGTATAGATAATGTGACACTGTCAAATTAGCACGAATTCACGCGCATGCACGTGTGCTTCACTCTGATTGGCTGAAACGAAAATCTCAATATCTTTTCCGTTTTTTGACGAAATGCTATGAAATTTGAAATATAGGCATACTTTAGGATGCTCTAGAATATGGTAGATAGCAATTGTCATGAAAACACGCGCATGCACGTGCGCTGCAATCTGATTGGCTAAAACTTTAAATGGCTATATCTCCTTTGTTTTTTGACGAAATGCTTTGAAATTTAAAAAATAGTCATGAATTAGGATGTCCTGCAATATGATATACAAAAAATTTCAAGAAATCACGCGCATGCACATGTTCTGCAATCTGATTGGCTGAAACTTTGAATGGCTATATCTCCTTTGTTTTTTGACGAAATGCTTTGAAATTTAAAACATAATCATGCATTAGGATATCCTACAATATGATTTAGAAAAAAAAATTCATGAAATCACGCGGATGCACGTTTGCTGCAATCTGATTAGCTGAAACTTGAAATGGTTATAATTCCCTTGGTTTTCAACCAAACAGGATGGGATTTATAACATGGATACATATAAGGGCCTCCTACAAGAAGGTATTGTCGTCATGCACGTGCAAGCACGTGCGTGCATATGGAATGAGTGAAATTAAAAATACACTTGAATGAGTGATTTTTAATTTTTTTGGACTAAATGCTTTAATATAAAGTATATTTAAATATATAGAAAGTGTAGACAAGATTATATGATCATTACGCACGTGCATTCACATGGGCACGCGTGCAATGTTAAAATTTGAATAGGTATCATTTTGGGAAAACTTTGTTAAAGTCAAAAATGCACAGATGTTGTCTTATTTAATAAGGCTTACAGGGAATATGGCACCAAAAGGGAGTTGGGGAGCGTTTGGGGAACATCTGTAACGGTTCCCGTTACAATTAGCACTAGTTTCTTTATGAGATCCCTTCAGCAACAGATTTTGAAAAAAAGCTTGCTTTATATATTATTACTTTTGCTTTTCATGGCTGGGTTTAAAAACTTTCATTTCAATCATGGCTACTGTAACTTGCTTTTTTCGGAAACTAATGGATATCTGCCTGACACTTAAGGCAATTCTTGCAAATATATCTGCCATCTTTGATGTTATACCCATTGTCAAATATCAACTATTGTTATGGTCTGGTCTCTACGTACCGGATAAAATGATATGGAGATTTGTCACTCATTTAATAATTAGTTACAGCTTTTTCAAACTTTAATAACTTCCACACTAGCATTACAACGACATAATCAAACTATAATTTAGTTACATGTATCAAACTGATCGGTGAAAATAACTAATGTCAAGATGTTGCCTAAAGATATTATAGGTATTAACAGCACACATTAGTGATAAAGACTGACTGTGACACGCCCAGAGCAGATTAATCACTTCATACTGAAATGCTAAATTTTGATACGCACAAATAAACTTATGCAGTGATTAGTACTACCTTTTCAAAATTTAATATATTATTCACAGTTTCTTTAATAAATACACTAAGAGCACGAATATCGATAAAATTTATTTTCCATATAATGTAGTTTGCAATACACGATATTATAATTGCTTAGCAATCCGGTGTAAGTTTTCGAACACCCGGGTTGAGCAGGGTGCAAAATAACCTGAATTTACAATGCAAAGCAAACAACATGACGTCAAGATGTATTGGGGTACGCAGTAGATTCAAACATTCGGCATAAATTGGACTGTTTTCAACGAGAATTTATATGTTAACATTTGCCCCAAAAATGCTATCCAGGTGAAATCAAGTGTGTATGGGGTTTTACTCTTTGTTGTTATCCGAAGGCAATCCGGGGAAAATCCCCGTAGATCCTGGTGTTAACGTACATAGAGGATAACTAATAACATCGGGTTTCCCTTTACAAGTTCTGTATCAAAATAATCATTAATGTTACAGAAAGCACTCGTAATGTTGTGTACAACTTTAACAAGAGAAACACATTGCTTAACACTTCCTAGCAGGGCATGTATGAAATCCCTGGGAACCATAGCTTACGTCTCAGCATGCCCAACAGACTTTCAGGAACATCAGGCCGCTGCAATGAAGAAAAATTGTCTCCAGTACAATCAGACCTGCAGATCCTTCGAATACCACTGTGTCCTAAATGATGATATGACAAGACTCGTTGAAGTTTGTGCCCCTTGGCGTTATATTCAATGTAAGTTTGTGATAGACCAAAAAGATAAATATTTTTTAATTATAATGCATTTTACATTTATATATCGTGACATTAGAATTTTTCAATATATTATGTAAATATCCTTAACTAGTAAAAACAAAAAAAAAAACAAAAAAAAAAAGAAAAAAGATTTTCACAAGTTTTCCACCGATTTATTCTTCATTCTTTCTAAAGATTTAAAACATTTTACGGTCTCTTTCTGTACTTACAGCGGGAAAATGTACAGAGTTTAACGTCGGACTACGGAGCATTCGGAAAATCTACAAAAGTGATTGCACTGATTTTCTTTTCCCCTGTCCTTCTTTTTACAACTCAACAGAGTCTTATCGATATAACTAATCTTTTATTATCACTCTCATGACTTTAGTAACAAGAATAATTTTTCTTTTGTATTTCTGAACCTTGACTCAGAAGAATATCATGTTGTAAGGAATTTTTTGCTCGTTTTGTCCTTTCTTTCTTGTACACATCAACTGTGAATTATTTTAATTTATAGCAGGACAAGACAGGTCTTTTCCTAGCTTTATATTTTGCATATCTATCACCTACTTTTGTTTTAGACAGGGGTTGTTATAGCAAAATTACAACCACGACAATGGGAACCTCAGAAATAACAACAAGAAATCAAAATGTTTCCTATACAATAGAAGATGTTTCAAGACCAGGGAATCAAACGTAAGAACGACTCACTTAACATTTTTATTGACATTCATACTAAAGAAGAACCAACGAAAATGAATAAAAATCAAGTTTAAGGAACTTCATAGATTCATGAACATGCACATCACATGATTATTATTAAAATATATTAAAATATTTCGTAGACATGAGCTGGAGAAAACTAGAAAGGAATATAGAACAGAATTTTTGGGAATTTCACTCGGTATTAGCATTCCAGTGGTACTGCTGATGATAATTCTATGTGTATATTGGAGAACCAACTTTAATCAAAATGGTAAGTATTGGAAGTTACATTATAATCATTTATGAGCCAAGTTTTATCTTGGAGGTACAACTAGTGATTTTTCTAATTTCAAATATGTACGACAGATATATAAGGTACACAATCTTTATCTTTACATAATTGCGCAGTTTCACAAGAGTAGTTTAAAACGACACAATGAGTCAAAATCATGTCTTTCTTTTAAGGTATTTGTAGCATACAGAGAAAGACTTATGAAAATCATGAGTATATAGCTAATGCTATGTTTACACTATGTTCCCGGCAGCCACGGCAATCACGTTTCAGGCCACCGTGGAAAAAACGGGACGGGCGTGAGAAAACTTGGGGCAACGGGATGGGCAAATGTAACTCATCGCGATTGCCGTGGATGCCGTGCCAGATTTTTAAACTGTCAAAAAATTTGCCACGGCGGCCACGTTGCAGATGTGAAACTTAGTAGGTCGTAGTAAAACGGAATAAACGCAACAAAACGCGACAGCACGTAATAGACCGTAACAGAACTTGGAGGCAGTCCGTAGTGGGACGGGAGAATGTATATTTCCATTCATCTCACGGTCCATTCACGTTTTGAGACGTTTTGCTGAGTTTAGTCCGCGTTCTGTCACGGCTAGTTCACGGTTGTTGTCCGTTTTATCACGTTCTGCCACGTTTCATCACGGTCCTCACGGCAAACTAGGGTGTATGGTAGCCGTTTCCTCGCGTTCAATCGCGGTTCGTCCCGGCATGTTACGGTTTATGGTCCCGGTGCGTTGCGTTCTACTACGGTCTGACACGGCGCACGCGGTCTGAGAGGAAGCATATAAAAGCCGGGCACTGCAGAGAAGTTTCATTCGAGTCTGAACAACTGAGAAGTTAACAACTCATGCTATGCCACCGAAGAAAAGAGGTAGGAAAGCAGCCGGTCTTCCAAAATTACCAGTTGAGGTGGAGCAGCCTGAACATGCTAATAATGATTTAGCGCCGCCAAATGAAGAGGAGCGTGTTGCAGCTGTTGATCCGGTACCTGATCAAGAAATTGAACCAGAGTCGGAGGAAGCCGAAGGAGACGCACCCACGAGGAAGAGGGCAGCCCCCAGGCTTGTCACCTCATTTTCGGAGGATGAGAAGGAGCTGATCATTGACTTCCTACAGCAAAATCCCACACTGTACTCCAAAAGACTGGCTGGTTACAAGGACTCGGCAGCGAAAGACAGGCTGTGGACAGAGCAGGCAAGAAAGATGGAACGTATGCCCATGGAACTAAAGACCTGGTACGACAGCATGCGTACCAAGCTCGGAAAGCTGAAGAAAGCAGTCACCAAGTCCGGGCAAGCTGCAGAACCCTTCACTGCAACCGAACTGTAAGTTGTACTCATTTTATAAGATTTTACTACTAAAATTATTCGCAAAGACAACCTTACTGAAAACTGAAACTGTACTAAAACATATATTCACATGCATTTTCAAAAGATCCATTTTCTTTGTCAACAGGTGGATATGGCAGCGCTTCCAGTTCCTGTTAGAGCACATCACTCAGATGCCCAGAAGGACCATGGCGAGCTTCACTGCCCGACTTCAACCTGCTGCTGATGCTACTATAGCTCCCCCTGTTGGGGCTTCTTCTGAAGCTTCGGAAGACGACCCAACTGATACCCCTACACCACCTGCTTGCAAATACGTTGTCTACAGCCCCAGGCAAAACGGACCGCATGATCGGCCTCCTGGAAACCTTCCTGGAGAATCGGCAGAGTCAGGCGCTACCAACTACTGCCTTTGGTTCCTACGTTAATGGAAGTCTGCGCAGCCTTCCAACACATATCCGACGTACAGCAGAAGCAAGAATAATGGCAATTTTACACGAGTCCCAGAACGAAGCAGACCGCCTGCAATTTCGACCGGTACAACTGCAACAGCCTAGCCCAGCTAATCGTCAGCGACCCTGTACCTCGTACGGAGAACCTCCAGCCCAGCGTTTTGATAGTCGTCCAAGTGAGTCTCTGGTCAAGCAATGGCAGCCACCCCCCTCCCAGTGGCCTGTTGAGGTGACGAACCCACCTGATCTCTGGCACTCGATGGATCGTCCGTGGGTACAAGAGCAGTTCCCTCATATGAACATTGCATGTCAACGGCCCGTGACTGGAAACCAACAACAATCACAGCAATCGACGCCAGCTACCGAAGTTCAAGACATCGCGCCTAACCAAATGATCGCCTCTGCCTCAGATTCCTTCTCCTCCTTGCTGAATCACATCCGTCAGCCAGAGGACGACGACCAGAGCAGACCAAACCAGTAAAGTTCTTCTGAATGCGTTTGTATTTTTCAGAAAATAAATACATGCAAACTTGTCTGTCTTAGTTGTTTACTCTTACCATAGCAGGAGTATTCCGGGTACTCCGGTTACCCCACAATTCCAACACTGCATGGCGATGTCCGTAGATGACCTTAATGTGTTAATCGTACATTAAACCAAAACCCCCCTCCTTATCTAAGTTAAATCTGTGATACCCAGTAAGACACATTGATACCAGTTTTGATGTAATGGTGTCAGATGCGCTTTCCGGAAAAAATATCTTCTTCAGCAGTGCTCAACCAAAACTTTTGAAAAGCCAAAACAATGCCAACAAGTGTAATACACAGACAATAATGAACAGTTACGAAAAATAACAAAAACCCATATCCACATGAGGGAGGTACTCATTAGTTTTTGTTTAGTAAAACAAGTTCAACAATTTTAACCATTTATTGCATAATATATACAACATTTGCACTTCGGAAGAATGTTTTGTTCACATTAAGAGTCGTGTTTGTTTATATGAACTGCCCTTCACTAGAGGGTGATCATTCTGTCTTGCCACTCTACAGTACCAGCAGGGGAATTGAAGTATCTTTCCAAATATTCCCATTGTTGTTTCGCATCCAGAGTGTCTCGGTTCCTTCCTGTTGGTGGTGCGTCCACTTCCTGCCATTGAACATCATCTCTCCAGTTTCCAGGGATCAGATTGTGTTCCTCATCTTCATGGTCTACCTCATTCACTAACAAGACTGGGGCCCTTCTTCTCAAGAGGTTGTGAAGAACAACAGCAGCCTCAACGATGTCTCGCACTGTGATGAAATCCAAATGTATTTAATCAGGGTTAGGGTTAGGGTTATTTAATCATACATGTATTTAATCATACATGCACGAAATCTGTATTCAGTACATTGCAAATAATCATTAGTATTAGCTAACTATTTCTTCACTTTTATCATAAAAATATAGGAATTGTACATGTTATTGCAACTATTCATTGAAACACTGGCGCAGTAACAGAATGATAATAACCTGTATCTGGTTTCTGTTCCAAAGTTCCAAGGAAGCATCTGAAGCGCTTTGCTAGGATACCAAACGCATACTCAACCACTCGTCTTCCACGCGAGATCCGATAGTTGAAGATAAGTTGTTCTTTTGGCATAGCTCTTCTCCCATATGGCTTCATCAGGTAAGTTCGTAAGGCGAATGCGTCGTCACCTAGGATGAAGTAAGGGATGTCCTGGTTCTGGTCATCGTTGGGCAGAGGACATGGTGGAGGCAAACCTATTTGGCCGTCTTGCAAGAGTTCACTGAGTTCCGAGTCATTATAGATTTGAGCATCGGACATGTGTCCAACTCCACCTACAGTGCCCACTGTCCAATCCGACAACTGTGCAATCCGGCACACTGGCACTTCCGACGCAAAACTTTATTCCCAAAAAAATCTTTATATAACTTATGTAGAAAATACTTTACAATCCGACCACTGTACATTCCGAATTCCGACACCTTTTTGTAAACACAGCCTATTAATTGCATTGCAATTTCACCTGTGTTATCCGACATAATTACACGGCTCGTTAATTAAACCCAAGGTAGGTATACCATAATTAGCCGCTGGCCAATTACGGGTCCAAGCTGTGATTTTAAAGTCCCGTTTGGTCAATTGATCATCTGAATATGTAGTCAGTGATTCATGCTGAAGTTTGTAGGTGTTTTGTTTATGTACACAATAAATGAACAATACTCAAATTAAAAAAAAACGTAAATAGCATTTGGCTTCGCCTCATACAGATTGACAATAACGTGTGTCAAAAACTAACTCAGACTGGCATTAAAAAATGAAGACAGTTTAAATTGTAATTAATCTCACTAACGACACATAAAATATGCTTTTGGAGAACTTTTTTTTTGAAATAACAAAGAATATCAGGTATCGATAACGTCTTAATCACGATTCTGTGTTCAACAGATAAAATTATGGTTTAGAAGTTTTCCGCAAATATTACCTCTCATTACCAACTCTCTTTCGCGGCCGGAAATGCGAGTGTTTCGTTTACGTAGCTCTTTTCTAAGCGTGGATAAATCCCACGACCCATAATCGGTCAATATATCTTTAAAATTTAATTAAAATAGCAAGGTATACAAGATCGAAATTACGTTGGCACTCTCTAAAATTGGAAGAACGAAAAGTCACGAACTTAAACGTGTCATGCGCCACCTATATAATTCAGGGACGATAATGTGCAGTTTTCTTTGCAATTGCTAAGGACGCCCGATATTTCGAAAGCATTCCGGTGCCAGACAACTCACCGAAAGACAGGTCACCGACAAAAGATACATATCCAGTATCTTGCAACTCTGACAGAAGAGACTTTAATGAAACAGCGACTTAACAAAAACAGACAACAATTGACACTTTTTTCACTAAACCTCAGGAACTGTAACTAACGTTATACGTTGCATTGTTTATTGTCTGAAACTGTAAATAGAAATGTACCATGCCATTTAATTATTTATTGAAATAAAATCACATCTTCATGTAAAAATCTTTCATATGAAATAATTATGGAGGCCACGATCAACCATGTACTTTTTCTGATAATGTTGGATCTAATGCCATACTTGACAAATTGTGACAGAAATAGCCAACACTGAGTAATCCGACACACTGTTTAATCCGACATAAATTCTATTTCCCATGGCTTGTCGGATAAGACAGGTTTCACTGTACTTCGATCCATATGAAACGATACTGGGCATCCACCAAGGCGAGGAGAGGGATACTGAAAAAACCTTTGTAATTGTGGTACATGGAGCCTGTGTTTGGTGGCTTGCTAATAGCAATATGTTTTCCATCTACAGCTGCCACTGCATGAGGAACATTCCACTTGTCTTCAAAATCACGGGCGAGGGCTCTCCACTCATCAGGCGTCACAGGCACGGCGAATGCTTCATCCTTGTAGGCTGCCACTATGGCCTTACACACCTCTGGCACCATATGGCATATGGCTGCTTTACTGGTCCTGAATGCGTACGGGAGTGACGAGTAATTGTCACCAGTGGCCAAATGTCTTAAGACACACTGACAGCTTCAGACCAGGTGGTAGGGCTGCGCGGAACCTAGTGTCTCGTCTCTGTATGTATGGTGTAACTCTTTCCAGGATCTGGTTGAAGAGATCTGGAGGCATCCTCAGGTAGTTTGTGAATGAGTTAACATCTTCCATTCGGAGTTCCCTGGTCATAAATGTTTAGTAGTGACCCATCTGTTGCCTTCTGTCTTCGGACAACCAGTTCTGAACCCATATGGATCTCCGCCTTCTCATCCGTCTTATTCGTCTCATTCCTAGTTGCTGCACTCCTGCCTTCCCTCTCTGTAACTGCTGCTGGTTCTCTTCATTTTGACGAAGTGATTTTAGGTATGCACCCAGCAAACACGCGAAAATAAAATCTTCGTCTTGAGAATTCATGATGTTTTATCTTCGAAGGGTCATGATACAATGATTGTTTCTGGTTAGGAGACCTTCTCTGGTACAAACGTGATCCATAGTTTCCCGGCGTCCATGTTTCATACGTAGAAAGACTTGACAGAACGTGAGAAACGTATAAGAACTTCATAAGAACGCGAGAAACGAGAGGGGACCTATCAGAACGTAAGAGGCTTGGGGGGAACGTGCTGGCATACGTGGCAGAACCGTAGTGCGCCGTGGAGCCTCCGGCACTCGACGGCAACTTCTTCCTACGGCCAATCACGAATTCCGTAAAAGACCGTAGAAGACCGCAAAAGAACTTGTCACGACTTGGATATAGAGGGGAAAATAACCAAAATCTCACGGCGCACTACAGTGCAGGGAAATAATTTTGTTACAGCATCAATGCTGATTTTGGTGCTTCCTATGCTTGCTGATTTTGATGCTTCCTTTGCTTGCTGATTTTGATGCTAGTTATCCTTATCCTGATCCTGGTTTGATCCTTATCCTGATGCTGGTTTAAACTAGGTCAATGCTAGTAATGCTACCGGAAGTAGGATTATCCTGCCGGAAGTGGATAATTCAAAAAACAGCATCGCTATTTTAAACCATTAAAAATAAATTTTGGGGTAATTTTTATTTTTAATTTGTATTAAATGACTTTCCTTTATCTGTTTTTAGTTTTTACCGAAAAAATTAGCGATTTTTATCGAATTTCGTTTTGTCGTATTGCAATCGTAAAAAATCAAAATGGCGACATAGTGGAAGTTGGAAGAAAATCTTCATCTTGCGAAGTTATCGTTACATAGTTATTTGATATTGATTGCAGTTAAAATGCGATGATCTATCCTTTTTGTGATGCAATTTCAGTAGGTGGAATAGACCTAATGTGTGCAACGTGTAAGCATGGAAACGTGATGGACAATGAACATGATGAAGTTTATGTCAAATCCAGATGAAAATTTATTGCGTGTCCTGTGAATATTTAAGCGAAAATATTATGCTTTAGCCTAAATGGAATATTAAGTCGTAATCCAAGGAACCAATAGATCATCAGTACAGTCACTGCAACCACTCAGAGGGTATGTAAACAATGCTTTTTTTTAATAAGATTATATGAAAATAGTAAAGATTATGTGAAACAGATTTAGTGTAACAAAAAATTAAAAACTCAAAATTCTGAGCGATTAAGGCATTTCAACATGTTAAACCCATGTGATTTTAAAGGTCAATTTTTACAATTGAATAAAAAATGAATGAATTTTTAATTTAGAATCTGCAGATGCAGTATTCTGTAGTTTATTCCACAATTAGTATCAAGTAAAATTATACATAACCCATTGTTGCAACCACGGCCAAAATTTACAAACTTCTCCCATTCTGACCGTGGTCAAATGAGAAAGAATATTTTGTAGCTTGATCATTAGTACTGTAAACCAACTTTTATTCGCGTGCGAGAAATTTTCGCGAGATTCGCGAGAGCCTCGTCATCGCGAATATTTCTCGCCGCGAATGGGTCCTTACCTCTCTTTTTCTATTAAAAACAGTTCCAAAAAGGCTTGGTCGCGAAAATTAATCGTCGCGAACTACTTTACTCCCGGTAAATCGCGAAATAAAGTCGTCGCGAATAAAAGTTGGTTTACAGTATTTTGTAGCTTATTAAAATATTGACCATTTGCAAATAAAGCAAAGTAAGATATTTTACTTTGATCATGATACCTAGTTAGAATGATCTAACTGTGTCTCGGTACAGGCCCTCACCACAGTTAGAATATGTCCCATATACTTGCAACGTCAGCAAATCAGAGCGGATCCGCTCCAAAATGATTTTGAAGAATATAAAAAGATTTGCATTGGGAATACCGGTAACTACCAAAATAATCAAAACAAACCTTCTTGAGATTGCTTATGCCTTTTATCCCCCAAAAATAATCCATATATTAAATATGAAAATCCAATTAATTTTCTCAATGTTCTTCTCTCGATTCAAATTTATTACCTGCCATGTTTACATTCAGAACTCTCTAGATTGTTCCTAGTAAATGCACTATGCAAGTTATAGCACGTGTTCCTTTCTGCTACATTACGAATACACGGAACGAATTCTATCGTTAAACGGGGTCTGTAGGACAATATCATTTTAACGATAGAACATTCTATTTACATGATACCCAGTCGCAGTGTAAGAAACACTGTTGAATGAATGTAAATTGATCATTTCAATTGGGATGGAAAGAAACCCATGTTCACTTACAATGTCATATGACGTCACAATCAAGATTGAGGCATCAAGATTAAGATTAGGAAATTTTTTGATCAAGCGGGGAAAGCTTCATGCTTACAACAATGTGGTAATGTACCTATATATAACCTGACCAACTGATAACCAAGTCCACTCAAACGTAGTACAGTGAACATGTATTTCAACTTTTGAACCAATCTAGAAGTCAACTCTTAAACAATACATGTAAACAGATATATAATTTTTTCAGAAAGCAGATATGTATCTATCCTTATATTTGAGCTACAATACAATGTCAATATGTATCAAATATTTGAATTGGTCATGTTGATCAGGAAGTCTTTTTTTGTATTGAACAAGATGTGTTAGTGAAACACTGTGCGGCCGGTGGTAACAAAGGTAAAAAAACTGTTTTAGCATATAGGTCACAGTCTAAGTCATAAGGTCATTGATTTCAATGTCGTTTGAAAGAACTTTATTAGTGGAAAATGCATACCGAATATGAAGTCTCCATCTCCTTTGATTCAAAAGTTATAGTGAAAGTTCGAAAGAACTATTTTAAGCATGTAGGTCACAGTCAAGGTCACAAGGTCATTGAAGTTGGTGTCTCTTTAAGTTGAGTACGCCTGCCAAATATCAAGTCTATACCTCTCAGAGTTAAAAAATTAAGGCGAATGTTCAAATTAACAATAGACAGACAGATAAACAGCTGAACAGATAAACAGACAGGACATAAATAATATACGCTTGAGATCTATCGATCTGAAGGCATAAAAATTTTAAGAACAAATCATTTCTTCACAATTATTTATGAATAATTTTCATTTGATTTCAAAGAATAAGCTGTGTACATGGTATATCCGCTGTAAAACAAAATTATTTTATATAAGTGGTGAGAATTATTACTAGTATGTATTTTTATATAAAAATTTTGATTTTAAAATATGTTTATCGTATATAATTAACACAAAATATAAGTTTAAACAAAAAAATGCCTTATTCTTTTTGCGATATTTAAATATTTTTACATACATATTGATCGATATATGTGTACTTAATCCTCACACAGAATCTTTATTATTATAATCGATTAATCATTTCAGCCTCAATGGCTTGGACGCTCCTCTTAAATTTTACTGGAGTTGAAAGAGAAAAGATGAGTGTTTGAAACTGTGATCATTACTTTGATATTAAATAGCCAAATTATGTTCAATTTGTAAAGTTACTTATTGTCATTGTGCACCTATTTCATAGGAGAAGTATTTAAAGTTTTAGTAGTCAGTGACAATTTATTTTTTTTACCTGGAAAAAAATTTAAACTAGGAGACTTATTGTTCATAGAACAATAAGAGGTCTTTCCACCTTTTTAAATTTCTTATAGTTTTATATTTTACACTCTAAATTTAATTTTAAGGGAAATGGCTTGAAAAAAAAAAATGAAAATGTAAAAAAAAAAAAAAATTTTTTTAAATGACCTTGACCTTTGACCTTGAAAAAATTTTCAAGGTCAAAGGTCAAAGGACACATTGCAATTAACCCCATGCTTCTACCATTTATAGTTTTCAAGATATAAGGTTTAATAGTAAGTCTAAAGAAGTTAAAGGGCAATAACTCATATAAGGGGTCATTAGATCCTTTAGTACTTATACTATGAAGGTGTGCCTAAAGACCCTTAAGACATAAGTGAAGGTTTCATGCCTCTACGGTCTACAGTTTTGAAGTAGTAGTGATAACAATGTTTTTCACATAAGGGGCAATAACTTTTGATAGAGTCTATCTTGGGGAACAAGAATGAAATCTTTGAAATAGTTTTAAGTGTACATATTAATGATGCAAAGACTGATTGCATATGTTAAAAAGACAAAGGATATATAAAAAGAGCTTAATTTCTCATTTTTGCAATGACCTTGACCTTTGACCTTGACAAAATATTCAAGGTCAAAGGTCATGAGTCACAATGCAGTTGGCCCCATGCTTCTACCATTTATAGTTTTCAAGATACAAGGTTTAATAGTAAGTATAAAGAAGTTAAAGGGCAATAACTCATACAAGGGGTCATCAGATTCTTTTGCACCTATACAGTGAAGTTAGGTCTAAAGACCCTTAAGACATTAGTGAAGGTTTGGTGTCTCTACAGTCTAAAGTTTCGGAAAAGTAGCGATAACAAGGTTTTTCGCACAAGGGGCAATAACTTTTAAATGGGTTCATGTTAGGGGACAAGAATAAAATCTTTGAAACAGTTTTAAAAGTACATATTAATGATGCATAGACATTAAGTATATGTTAAAAGACAAAAGAGATATAAAAAGAGCTAAATTTCTCAGTTTTGGAATGACCTTGACCTCTGACCTTAAAATGAATTTTAAGGTCAAAGGTCAATGAATCTTATGCAGTTGGTCCCATGTTTCTACGTCTTCTCGTTTTGAAAATTTTTAATCATTTGTAAAATTCTAAAACTTCCAGGGGCAATAACTTATTGAAGGGGTCAATGAATACTTTCGCAATGAATCAATAA